TGGATTTGACATCAATATAATTTGCTTTATCTTGCTTTTCTAATGTTAGGTATATTAACTAGGGTTCTGTAGAAAAACAGAATCAATAGAAAATAAATGTATAATGATGCAAGGGGATTTCTTAGGTAGGGTTAGAGGACCACAGGCAGGAGAGTTCACAATGGCTGTCTGCAAGAGAGCCAGAGAACCCAACAGCTGCTCAGCCCAAGAAGATGGAAGCCACAAAGTAAGAGGGATCAAGGATGCAGCACCAGTCCAAGATTGAAGGCCTGGAAGCTCACTGGGGAGGCACCAGTGGGAGTCTGCATTCAAAAGCTGAAGAAACTGGAGACAAATGTACAAAAGCAATGGCAATGACTGGAGCTTTTCAGAACTGGGAGCCCTTCGTTCTTTCCCTTGTTCTATCCAGGCCCCTCTATTTGCTGGCCTACATTTTAGTCATCCACAGACACACCCTGAACTGTGCTTTACTTAATTCTAGATGCTATTCAAGTTGATATATCATGTAGCGGTCACTCTACATGTCTATAGGTTTCTCAGGATTGAAAGGGAAGCATCTGCAGAGATTAGAAGCAAATTATCACCTGGATTATTGGGATTTGATGTTGGGTTTTCCAGCTCTGTGATTGTGGAACATAGCTTGGCCCTCTCTCTCTCCCCTGTCCAGGAAGTATCTTACTATTCTGTCATGTGATTCCTCTCTTAGCTCTTTACATCAGGTTTATTCTTGGCTTCTAGCCCTTGTCTACCCTACGGCTGTATGTATGTCTGGCCTATCATAATTCTGCTGATCCATTTTTAAGAATTTAGTCCACATTGATCTTTATTTATTCCTGTCTCACATGATTTAATACTGAGATTCATAATATATTATTGGTTTTATTTTTTCCATTATATTTACCCCTATTTGGTATAGTTTTCTTACAGGTAGGGTCATTCTTTAATAGATTATGCATCTATGAGTTTATAAAAGAATATTTGTCTATATTTATGTTCTTTTAGAGCTTCATTCTTAGAATTCTGAAATCCAAAAATGTCATTCTGAAATCACAGCTTTATGAAGCTATCTGTCAGTCCCTGATATCATGGTCACTTCAAATTATAGCACATTGTAATGCAGTTTTCTCGTTACCATTTTAACATTTAAAAAATACCAATTTTTGTCAGACATATCTCTTAGCTCAGTGTACAGCAACTCTTTTTGTATAACATTGTAATCTTTGAGACAGGAAATTAAAGGACAAAACAGGAGGGGAAGGGATTGCAGCAAACACAGTCAAACATTCTAATACCCAGGGAACCCCATTTCTTTCTTACACTGTAAGGAGATGCTATCGGTTGTTTTCTAACGACCAAACCAGTAGTAGAATGTGGATTAATTTAAAAATAGAATTAATTTAAAAATAAAAAATTTAAAAATAGTTTATATATTTTTCTTTTTTAAAAATTGAGTTTATTGGTACATTTTAGGCATACAGTACAGTTACATTCATTATTGGGACCTTATACCTTTTCATGACAGGTCTTGGCTCTCATTGTTTTCCCCTTGTCCCTGCCCTCCCTTCACCCCCTACTCCCTCCCCATTGAAGATTACTCCTAAGTGAAATAAATAAGTCACACATGTATAAATACCAAATAGCTTCTCTGGTGTGAAAAAACTATAATAGTACATAAGATCCTAATGAGATAATTGACAATGTGAAATAGGAAGAAAGTTTACATATTTTTCTGTTCCATTACTGCTTATGTACTGGTAGTCAGGCTCAAAATTAACAATTCAGTACCTCCTCATTGAAGGATTCAGGGACCCCATCATGATCTTACACCAGGTTTCAGGAAAGTGTTTTCCTACTCTACTCCCATTGCAGGACAGTACGATCAATACTTTTATTGAATAAAACAGTGAACAGCATGAGTACTCTGATTTATACATGCAATCAGCTCTTCCTGTTTCTGCCTTCCAGGGAGAGATCTTTCATTTTGGGTATTCGTTAATTGTTAAGTGACACAGTAATTCCATCAGGAGTGCTGAGTCTAGAAAAATTAACAGGGACATCTGGAATCCAGCACTAGAGTTTATAATCCTAAAAGGGAATTTAAGGAGAAATTTAGACTTGAGAACTTTAAGACTTGACTGTTACTGGCCTTCTCTTCCTTTCAACCCTAGAACAGTGCCTGGCACAAAGCAGCCAAAGGATGAATTCTTTTTAAAGGTTGAACTGCAACTTCCTTTACTTTACACTGTTAAGCTAATTTAAAAAAAATATTTTAACTTTAAAATAAAAACCCAGCTCTTCGTTATTTCTACATTTACATAAAATAAGATTTGATCTCACAAATTAAGCTTTGGTCTTGATCCATTATAACTAACCCTAAAAATGGGAGGTAGAGAGTATTTTCCAAACTTGGAATTTGCCTCCTTTTTTTCTGAGCTGTCCTATATATAAAACTTTCATTATTTAAGTTGAGACTTAGTGAGACCATCAAATATATAAACTGAAAAGATTTAAAAGCTAGAAATAGATTAAATAACTAAAGATGACTACTCGATTTAAGAAAAAGCTTATTCAGTGGCTTTTTTCAAATATTACCTGAATCACTACGTGTAGCCTTTCTACTGATTGAAGTATCACAGCCTTAGTAATAGTGCAGTGTAAGGCCCAGAAAGCTAAGCTGTAAATCATGAATGAAGGAGAAATGTATTTTATCTTTTTTGTGGTTTGAATAGAATATTGCTGATTAAAATTTTTTTATGCATTGCTGCAGATTATTCGCACCAAGGAAACTATTCGGTATTTACACATGTGTGACTTATTTAATTCACTTAGGAGTATATCTTCAATATGTATCCATTTTCCTATGAATGAATCTATTTTCTCGTTCTTTATGGCTGAGTAATATTCCATTTTATAGAAAGACCACATCTTCTTGCAACAATGCGTAAGATTCTAATAAGATTACTAACATTTAGAAATGGGAAGAAAGGAGCTAAAGGTGTAGGGAAGGTGGGACGGGTAGAGGAAGGGTAATAAGGGAAAAGAAAAAAATGTGAGATAACGAAAAGATGAAAATAAAGTGTTTGTAGATGGGGAGGGGAGGAGAGGGTTAAGGGAGGGCAGAGGTAAGGTGAAAAAATGAGAATCAAGACTTGTCATGTAGAGGTACAAGATCCCAAAAATGAATGTAACTGTACTGTATCCCTAAAATGTACCCATAAACTCAATTAAAGCTGAAAAAAAATAAAATAAAATTTTTTTTTAATCAATGAGTTTATGGGTACATTTTAGGTATACAGCTATCCCTCTGCTAGATATCTTTCCAAAAGAATTAAAAGAATCATACCACAGTGATATATGTTTATAGCAGCACAGTCTGTTCAAATTTTCGTTTGGATGGTCCTTAGCAAGTAGTTGTTTTTCTAGAAGAGAGAGCTGGGCTTGCAAAACTGCAAATCAGGTAATCTATGTTCACATCTTGATGACTGGCAAATCACTTATTCATTTGGTAAAGCAGACTCATGAAATCAGTAATTTTGCTATTCATTTATGCTGTATGCTTTCCATTTCTCCCTGTATAAAGTTTCATAAAGCAGCATCCATTTCATTAAGAAAAAATAAAATAAAAGCACATCTCTACGAAAGGTCTTTGTTTTGTTTACCTTATATTTCTATATTCTTACACGAAGAATGCTCAAGGCTTGCTTACCTTCTCCATCAGAATGAGGTCAGAGCATCCTTATATTAATATCAGTGACGAGTGCTTTCTGCAAATCATTGTCAGACATGTATGATGTGTTTACAGCAGGAATGAACTTAGTTGTATTTGTGAATTAAAGAAGGACACTTCTTATATGAAAATAAAGGGTTAGCTTGTGCTTGAAAGTCACATGGAAAACAGAATTGCCTTAAAGTAGGTAACTCCTGTGTAAAAGTAATGAAAGAGTTTCTGTGATGAATTTCAGGTCAAGGTATTAATATTGTATCAGTATCTATCATAAGTTTACACGACTAGAGGCTCCAAACATTTGCCTCCTAAATGTACTATTATCTCTTCTTTTGCTTTGAGGCCAAAGGACATAAACACTGAGAAGTTTTGCTGCTTTATTATTAACTGTGTAAATACACTCTGGAGGGATTCTATTCCAATGTACATTTTATTATACTTGAAACAAATGACTTGCAATTTGTTATAGGATGCACTTGAATATTTTTATTTCAGTGAACATGAGTTACTACCAGATTATTCTCCAAAATGAAACTCCACTTTTTTCCATGGATTCATTTTGTGAAAAAAAGATACAGAAACTGAGCAAGATCCTGATTCTGAACTTTAATCATTTAAATTTGTGAAGAATTGGAAACAAGAATTAATTTCAGTGCATTTTCTCTGGCTTAAACTTTTGGTATAAACTTGGGTTTCTGTCGCACTCATGCAAAATCAAATTAAAATCTAAATATCTGACTGCAATTACTGTTCTCTGAATTATGGAGTTAACATCTATAGATTTGTGAGGAGAAAAAATATTGGTCTTAAAACTTGAAATTTTCGGTGGAAAAATGAAAGGAACTAAATACTTGGGATTTTTTCCTTATTTTTACTATGGCTCTCTCAGAGTTTAATTTGTTTATAGAGCACATTTCAAAAAAAAATCTCGTGTATAGGACAAATTGAAAATACAAAATACACAAAATGAGAAAACAGGGATGAATGTGTATGAGATGCCTAATGTTCTGAGGGCTGGTTAGCTGTAAAAGCTTGAAATCTCATCTAGAAATTTCTCTAATACTTCTTATTACTGTATAATTGTCCAAAACTGCTTGTAGTTTCAGTGGCTTCTGTTCAAGTTTCTCTAGGGAGAATCTTTCTTCCTTTTTTTAAAAAAAGTAATGGACAAACTAGTTGCGTAGGTTGATTTAAACACATCAAGCCAAGAAAAATCCTGACAGTGTACCAAACAAGATCTGTGTGGATAATGTGAGTTCTTTCTTTTTAATTTTAGAATCAACATTGTCCTATGTTAGGCAGCTGGAGGCAAGAGTAAGACAGCTGGAAGAAGAAAATCGCATGCTGCCCCAGGTGGGTGACTTCCAGAAGCTCATAGCTAGTCAGTGTCATGTGAATCGTAGCTTTTTTTTTTTTTAATTTAAAGTCTCAATTACATGTTCTTTAAATGCTAGATATCATTTTATAAACAGCCATTCATCTCGTAGAATGTGATTATGTTCTATGATGGCCATAAGATGATCCAGATTTCTAAGTAGTATGCTAAAGTTTATCGATGTCTGACATAAGAACATGAACTAATTTTAGGAAGAAGAAGAAAAAATAAAGATAAATGGAAAATAAAGACATTTTGATGGAACTAGTCATATGTGCTATGTCTACAGTTTGTGGATAACAAGGAAAGGACTCACTCAAAGCTAAACTTTACTCATGTATAAGCTAAGTAAAGCAGATATTTTAAAGGTTTCATATATTAATTAAATTAATACCTACTAAAATTTCTTTTTGTCGTGTGATTGATTGAATTCTTATACAACATAGCAATGATAGTAATTAACAGTTTTTACTTGGGGACCCCTTTTATTTTTTTCTTATGAATGCAAAGTGGTACTTCTGGAATATTTAATGTCTTGCCATATATTTCACTAACAAAATTATTTCTCTGGGCTGTTAAATTTACAAGAATGATGTTAATCTTCTGAGGTGGTGGCTTTCAGAAAGTAATTTGTTGAGAAATTGCACAAATCTACTGATTCTAGGTGGTTAGTTTACATTACAGGCATGAAGATGACAATGCAATTTAAGATTTTTATGAAATAGTTTTCTAAGCAATTAATCACTATCATTCTTTTTTTTCATTAAGTTTATAGATACTTTTTAGGTATACAGTGCAGTATTCATCATTGGGATCTTGTACCTTTACATAATGTATCTTGGTTCTTATTTTTTCACCATACTCCTGCCCTCCCTTCACCCTCTCCTCCCTTCCCTATTTACAAAGACATCAGCATTCTTTCTGTATTCTCTTGTAAGTGACTAAAGGAAAATTACTGCTCAAGTAACTAATAAACAGTAATTTAAATAGAAAGATAAATGCATTATATTTCAAGAGAAGAAGTTTAAATATTTCTTCAAAGACTTTTTAGAAAGACATTTTAATTCTTTTTAGTCTTATTTTGTTTTTAAGGTCTTTCTGCTCACTGATGATGATCTGGGATATTATGTACTATGGAAAAATGCCTTTTTTGTCTCTCCTCAGTTGGACAAATAAAAATCACGAGATTAATGGATCTATTTATCTTCCTTTTCACACTGTATGAATGTGTGTTAAAATTTATAATCACAGAAGAGATTATTTGTGTATAAAATAAAGTACTACTGGTAGAGGTTTTTTTTTTTCCTTGTATTAGATTCAGAGTTGGATTATTCTAGGGCTCTTGATTGAAAACATCCAACTTGTTTCCTGTTTCAAAGATTAAAAAAATACAGATTATTATACATGTTTACACCATTTTTTCATGCAGCTGAGTGTGTAAAGGATTAAAAAGTAGAAAATAGTAATAAATCATTTTTTGTCTCCCTTGAATAGGAACCAAGGCTCACACCAAACATTAAAATACTAGCATACATGACATCTTATTTAAAAAGAGGTACAACAAATGTTAAAAAAATTACAAGATTGATTTTTAAAAATCTATAAGTTAATGTCACAATTGTTGAAGGAAAATCAGAAGAGCCCTCCACTGTACTTGATATATATGTATATTGAAATACATTGTCCTTGGATAGTTGAGAGTAGGAGAGATTAAGCAACTTCTCCAGTTAATATGTTCAGCATATTCTTTTAAATTTCTTGCTATCTTTCCTTCATTTTTTTTTCCTCTGAGAAGTGGATAGGAACAATTGAATATAAAATGCTATTTGTGTGTGGGATATACTATTATTTTATGTATCATGACAAAATAAAAAAAGATGCTGTCAGTTATACCATGTCAGATTTTTGCTGATTTTTGAGATGTTAAAAATGAGAAAACAATGTTTTAGATTTAAATGGGTAGTTACATGTCAAAGTTCTTTAATAGAAAGAAAATCCACTATTGTATGTGGTTTTCTTTTTCTGTTTGTTTTTGTTTTTGGTGCCAGGGATCAAACTCAGGACCTTTGTGCTTACAAAGGTAGGCACAGGTGCCACTGAGTCAAATCCCTGGCCCGAAAATCCATTATTCTAAACACACTATTGGATATACACAAAAAATACAATAGATCTCAGTTCAAAACAGTATTTTTGTTAAATTTTATGTCAGAGATTATTGTCTTGATGTAGAGCTAAAATAGATATGATAGATCTACTAGTTGTAACTTCTGTAAGTACAAGCTGTCATGATCACAGATGGTAGATGAGCCCCAGGGTTCAACAAAAGAAGAGGGTCTCAGAGCAAAATGAGAATCATGTGAAGGGAATCCTCATGGAAGATTGAAACTTGTTCTGGAGAGCACTAAGGCTTATACAATTTATTCTTAAATGTCACTGGCACTATTACAAATATGTCTGAAGAGATTTCCTTGCAGAAACTGTTTCTGACTGCATGATGTTAGCTGATTTGCAAGGTCAATTCAAAGCAAAATGCTGACATTCCTGCATAAATTAATCTCAATAATTGAACACTTGAGCTTTAATTATAAGAACTTGCCACTCTATCTTGATTAGAAGACAGTTCTTTTAATACCCAAGTTTATAAAAGTGTGTCCATTTGTCTTTGGATAAACAGGAATAGGAATAAGAATCCTGCTTGTCAAATATCTTTTATGGCTGTGGCCAGATTCTTTACTGAGAATTTAGAGTTTAGGCTTCTTACGTAGAGCATTGATCTGCAGGAAGAAATCTTATTTTTAATGCTTATTTTTATTCTTTGTATAAAATTGTGTGTAATGATAGAAAATCATGATTTTTCCCTTGCAATATACATATATGGACAATAAGGTCATAATTCCACCTACCATGGTATAACTATTCTGTGCAAAATGGAATACCCACTTATCCCTGCTTTATAGTCTCAGTAGTTCCAGCATGATTTAAAAGTCCAAGTTAAAGTCTTTTCTGAGCGTCAGGGCAAACTTTTAGCTCTGAACCTCTGAAAAAAAATAATAAGTAAATTATCTAATCTCATGGTACAATGACATGAGGTGAACATTTCCATTCCAAAAGGGAAGAATAGGGGACAGAAAAAAAACAGGAGGACCAAAGAAAGACTAAAACTCAGAAGGGTAAACATTAATTCTTTTTTCTTTCTTCCTTTCTTCTTCTTCTGCTTCTTCTTCTTCTTCTTCTTCTTTTTTTTTTTTTTTTTTTTTTTTTTTTTTTTTTTTTGGTAGTACCTGGGATCAAACTGTGGTCCTTGTGCTTGCAAGGTGGTGGAACCACTGAGCTAAATCCCTGGACTCAAACATTGATTTTTATAATCCCTTGTCTGTCTTCTGGTGCGCATGGTGGTAAAAAATGAGATCCAGAGTGTTAGGGTAGCACTATTCCTATGACTTCGCTGGTTAAAACTCATATTGCCTCTCTCTTAGGCCAGCTCTGTTCGTATCCTTTAACTTTCTTGGGGAGCTGTTACATTTCCTGATATCTCTCTCTGGGGTCTCCACTGCAGCCTCAGTTTCAGTCTCACATCTTCATGCAATGCCCTCTCTGGGGCTCCTTGCCTGGACTCCCAAGCCTTTTAAATCTTGCTGGAAGCCTCCCCAATGCATTCTTAATGCCTGGGAAACCAGCATTAGATGGATTACACTAAGACCTGATGTCAGTAGAAGCAGTAACCAGGTCTCCTTGGACCGAGGCTGCAGTGGCCTCTGAGTTCTTGGGTGAGTAGAGTGAAATGAGTCATTGGTAACCAATTCCCTATGCTACACTTATTGACTAGGAGGTCCTAGGGACTCTTCTTAAATGAAAAGTTTACATTTTGTATCCTTAAGCTTGTGATGGGTGGCATCTTGTTAATTTCTGAGTTACCCTGAAGGTATGTTTCTTTTTATTCCTATACAATGTACTTTTTTACTTTTTTAGCTAGTCTCTTTACTAGTCATGTCTCCTTTGGCCCTAACTTTATGTAGAGTTCCTTTTGAGTTGAAATTTAAGTATTTAAAGTTTTTCTCCTCTGTTTTTTGCCCTTGATGCTCACTATAAATCTAACTAAAAGTAGTCAGCAGTACCCATGCCACAGCCTGAATTTTGGGTTGCCTTGAAATGTCTTCTGTGAGATTATTAAGTCCATTGCCCTTAAACAGTCTCTTGCAAAGAATTTATCACCAGAGTATGACATGCATGGCAGTGAGTTCACTTTTCAAATTAAATCTTAGGAACCAGTCTTTTTATTTTCTGTTACTGTCAGCGTTCTGGTCCTCTGAGCTCCAATGAAAATCACTCATCAGCCTCTGCTTAGAACACTGTATACTTTTTCCAATCTAATTCTCTATTATTTTCCAAACTACTCCCATAAACCAGTTCCAAAGGCTTCTGAATCACCTGGTCACATATAGTTACAGCAACAACCCTACTCTTGGTACCAGTTTTCTGTATGTCTGCTTTCCCAACGCTGGGTAACAATACTTGACATATACAACCTAAAGGAGAACTTGTTTAATTTGGCTCATGTTTTCAGAGGATTAGTCCATGGTTGGCTGGTTCCAAGGAAGTAACACCCTGGTAGAAGTACATGGTGGAGCAAAGCTTCGTGGTGCCCAGGAAGCAGAGCAGGGGAACAACACAAGAGAGGAAGGGAGACAGAGCACAGATACAGTACCCGGTGTCACACATCTATGACCCACCTAGACACACACAGAAATATGCTTTACTAATCTGCTGGCTGGTTCCAATGCCAATCAAGTTGACAGTTAAACATAACTGCCACATCTCTCATATCATTTGATACCATTAATATGATTCGGAGTATGTTGCTAAATACATATTCCTCTTATTGCCATATTTATTTTTCAAAACACTTATCTTTAAAACTAACATCAGCTCTGCTTAGGTATGTGAAATTTGTTAGACATTCATTCTTGCCTTAAGGAAA